ATGACTCGATTTCACACGTGTCTTCATTCCGAGTGTGTACGTGCCGAGTGTGTACGTGCCGAGTGTGTACGTGCCGAGTGTGTACGTGCTGAGTGTGTACGTGCTGAGTGTGTACGTGCTGAGTGTGTACGTGCTGAGTGTCTACGTGCTGAGTGTGTACGTGCCGAGTGTGAACGTGCCGAGTGTGTACGTGCCGAGTGTGTACGTGCCGAGTGTGTACGTGCTGAGTGTGTACGTGCCGAGTGTGTACGTGCTGAGTGTGTACGTGCTGAGTGTGTACGTGCTGAGTGTGTACGTGCTGAGTGTACGTGCTGAGTGTCTATGTGCTGAGTGTATGATCCCCGCTGGAGTGGACATCATGACAAATGTAACACCATCACCAGCCTCTTGATACCTGAGCAACAAGTATCACATTTTCCTCAGGTATTGACTTGCCAGGTTGGGAGACTTTGAGATTATTTGCCTGGTACATTGACAGTCTACCAACATCTCCGGTGTTGACAGCTGTGACTAGTCCAAGCAAGACGGGTCAAGACTAAGATAAGATAAAATCTTTGAAGCAGTTTGTAGCATCACAATGGCGTTCCGGGTCATCTAAGATATGCCACGATGGGCTTATCTTTTAGCACATTCTGGCTTAGTAGGCGCCTGACAGCTGGGTAGACAGCGCTTCGGATTCGTTGTCGTGAGGTTCCGGGTTCGATCCCCGGTGGAGGCGGAGACAAATGAGCAAAAAGTTTCTTTCACCTTGATGCCCCTGTTACCTAGCAGTAAATAGGTACCTGGGAGTTTGACAGCTGCTACGGGCTGCTTCCTGGGGGGAGTGTAATAAAAAGGAGGCCTGGTCGAGGACCGGGCCGTGGGGACGCTAAGCCCCGAAGTCATCTCAAGATAACCTCAAGATAAGTGGGTAATGCTTGCGTCTGGGGGGGGGGGGGTCACCGGGAGTTTGAATTCGATCCCACACACTTGTTCAAAGATTTTAACATATTTTTGTGTGAATTCATTGTGATTGCATTGTATAGAGATGAGACTTTTCGAAAGGTTCTTCTGCTTGTCCAGAATTCAGATAAATGATAAAGGGACAGGCAATCCAGGAGAGTGGTGCTTACTCAATATGGGAGTGAACTTGGGCTTTATCTAAGGTTTTACTGGTTTGTGACTGTCTCTCTCTCTCTCTCTCTCTGTCTCTGTCTCTGTCTCTGTCTCTGTCTCTCTCTCTCTCTCTCTCTCTCTCTCTCTCTCTCTCTCTCTCTCTCTCTCTCTCTCTCTTTCTCTCTGAACGCTTCTCACCGACCTTCAGTTACCATGATGCATCACAGCCTCCTAGCCATCAACACTTATCATTTCTCACCAACGGGAAATTGGCTGGTCATACACCCTCCCCCTCCTCTCTCTCTCCCCCCCTCTCTCCCCCTCTCTCTCTCCCCCTCTCTCTCTCCCCCTCTCTCTCTCCCCCTCTCTCTCTCCCTCTCTCTCTCTCCCCCTCTCTCCTCCCCTAACCGCATCTTTACACGCGCCGCTCCTCCTCCTCCCATCTTCATAAGACTCTATATTCTGTAAACATTTTTCCAATTTTGTTGCCCGCTGGACCTGCTGGGGGAAACATGGCACAAGATATAACACATAATATGTTTTCTAAACATGATTTGAACTTTAAGGAAGTTTGGAACTTTATCTGGGTAAACAAGGTTGGGATAAGTCTGAAGAACTTAATGAGGCCTTGTTGGGGGGGGGGGGAGTCGCTCGTTAGACGTTAAGATTTACACTTCATCTGAAGGATTGTTAGTGGGGGGGAGGGGGTGAAGGGGGTTATCTGTGGGGTTTTTAACTGGATGATGATATCATGTCGGGTGTTTTCTTGGGGGCGTGTTATCTTGGATGTGTGGAAGAGTTCCAGGTTTTAGCCTTTGTCAGATTGTACTCTCTACACTCCTCTAGTTCTCACGTGCTCTTTACAATCCTCTGTTTCTCATTTTCTCTCTACAATCCTCTATCATGTGCTCTTTACAATCTTCTACTTCTCATGAACTCTCTACAATCCTCTAATTGTAATTGAAAATAATTAATCCGTCAATGGCAAATATCATTCTGTAAATAGTAATAAATAATTATAATAATAATAATAAAGTTGAAGATAGTGATAACTGGATTAAAATATATATGGACAAGGGGAGGAAAATTAGGAAGAATGTACCGCAAATTTCCGCCTTGGTCCTGCCGACGATTTAATCAACCAGAAACCAATTTTGGGCCGAGAGACGTGCCTGTGTGTGTGTGTGTGTGTGTGTGTGTGGTCCCGCGTCGTTAACCTGAGGAAGCCAAACATGGGGTCGTTAAGAAATTATTTAAAAGGCTTACGTGGCCTCAACATGTATTTTAGCAATATTTTTGTTTTTTAAGTTTCCTATTTTCCTTTGTGTGTAAGACCAGTCGTATTATGCAAGAGCAAGGCATTGTGATATTTTATAATATGTTTTAACATATAATATAATATAAATTTATAATATAAATTTAAGTTTATAATATAAATTTTAAATTTATTAATATTTAATATAAATTTATAAATTGTATAACTTTATTTGTATTTCTTTAACCCCTTGCTAGCAGGTTAAGCATCCTCCCTTCCCATAGTTAAGTGTTAACCTTACCCTACAAGTTTTACATGGAACACCACCCGAGAATCGGTTTTACAACCAGGTGCTCAAATTTATACTAACGTGGGACGCACGGCCCCAGTCGATCCACCTTGCCGGAGCTTCTAACAAATTAGTTAACTAAATGCATTGCTAATTCATCTGGAAGTCAATTTTGTAATTAGTTAATTGCCATTTGTGGTTATTTGCACAAAAGGATCGAGTAGAGATTTGAGCCCTAATTTTTTGCCTCAATAAGCTATATAATGTGTATATGGAATCAATTGACGATTATATTATATGTAAGTTAATCAGTTGGTATATGCATCACAAAACAATAAACCGTTGCAATACAAAGCAACACACAAGCAGTTGCAACAAAAAGTATACAGGACCATTAGCGGGCAATGAGGCACCTCATTACCCTTACCAAACAATGCTCTCCAAGCTGTAATTAAAATGTGTTATAATAACCTACATACTTAATTGCTTTTGTACACGATTTTTTTGTTTTTATTAATATTTTATGTAAATTTATAAAATTTTAGTTAAGCATTTAATTTTATATGTATTTTTTTCTTTAGTGTTTTAAATGTTTTTATTTATTTTGTCTTAAGTTTTGTATTTATTGGTACCCTTGGTGTGTATTTTGTTTTCTTATCTTTTATTTTTATGGAAACGCTTATGTCTCGGTGTTTAACTGTTACATTTTCTATTGTTTTTGGTCTCTAACCCCGTTGTTACTGCAGGGGTGACCTCTGTTGTAACGGTATTTGTAACCCCCTATTGCTACAGTGGGTGTGACCCCTGTTGTTCAACCCGTTCTCGCACTTGCTTCAGTCATTATTGGCTTATTTAATAAGTGCATATGTGACATACTAATTGATTGTGAATATTTTAGTTTACCTTGAAAAGCTTCATAGAAAATATCGACCTCACCTAACCTTCTTAGTATGTTAAGATAAAAATCTTATTGCTTCTTATTTACAATTATTACTTAACCTATCAACGGTATAGGTTAAGTAATAATTGTAATTAAGAAGCAATAAGATGCTTATCTTAACATCCTAAGAAGGTTAGGTGAGGTCGGTATTTTCTATGAAGCTTTTCAAGGTAAACTAAATTATTCACAATCAATTAGTATGTCACATATGCACTTATTAAATAAGCCAATATTGACTTAAAGCAAGTGCGAGAACGGGCTGTGTTGTTACACTGTCCGCGACCCTCATAGTTCACCTATGGAACAAGGTCGTTTGAACTACATTGTTACGCATAACATAATCTGCGATTTTGAAATAAATAATTTGTGAACTTACTCAAAAAAAAATAAAAAATAAACACTTAATGCAATCATTTTTAATTAACAAAAAATTAAGTTTGAGTTAAAAGCATAGAAGAAAAAAACCAATTAAACATTTAATACAAATTGTATAATTGTTTATTGGTATTTCTATATTCCGTAATATACAGGTTTAGTGGAAAAAATTGAAGTGGCCCGGACCGCGTTCTCCGCCTCGGAGAGGCCCCTCGGGCCATTCTATACAACTTTAATGAGATTTAATTAATGATTGCACCCCGGTATCGGACCTTTTTGGGAGATGGGGGAGGGGACGCGTGCGGACCATGTCGGGGTGCGGGGCGGTGGGCCATGTCAGAGAACGTGGAAGCCGTATCTTAAAACAGACGAGTAACGAGCTGCACATTGTTGGTGAATGGCCGCACCATAGCGGAGCGTTAATGGACCCCATCGGAAAATGTGCAGGAATTTGTTACCAGAAACGCGCTCGAATTGTCGGTCCATTTAACCATTGGGTTTAGTAGCACAGTGGATTTCATTCTCGACTCACGGTCGAGTCTGACTTCCGGGCTGGACAGGAATGGTTATCACGTTTCCTTTCACCTATTACCTCTGTTCACCGAACAGTTAAATAGGTACCCGGGAGTTAGCCAACTGTTGTTGGGTTGCATCCTGGGGAAGGTAAGCAGTTCGACCTAGAGGGAAACCTAGATACAAACCTAAAGTGTATATATATATATATATATATATATATATATATATATATATATATATATATATATATATATATATATATATATATATATATATATATGTCGTACCTAATAGCCAGAACGCATTTCTCAGCCTACTATGCAAGGCCCGATTTGCCTAATAAGCCAAGTTTTCTTGAATTAATATATTTTCTCTAATTTTTTTCTTATGAAATGATAAAGCTACCCATTTCATAATGTATGAGGTCAATTTTTTTTTATTGGAGTTAAAATTAACGTAGATATATGACCGAACCTAACCAACCCTACCTAACCTAACCTAACCTATCTTTATAGGTTAGGTTAGGTTAGGTAGCTGAAAAAATTAGGTTAGGTTAAGTTAGGTAGGTTAGGTAGTCGAAAAACAATTAATTCATGAAAACTTGGCTTATTAGGCAAATCGGGCCTTGCATAATAGGCCGAGAAGTGCGTTCTGGCTACTAGGTACGACATATGTCTATATATATATATATATATATATATATATATATATATATATATATATATATATATATATATATATATATATATATATATATATATATAGGCAGGCTACCTCTTCCCGACAAAAAAAAATCTACCTCGCCTAAGGCCGCGTGATATCACAAAGGACCGTCCAAATCACAA